TTTTCCAAGAGTGCTTTGCAGCGACTAAACCATTTAAAGGTCAGACGCTGCGGGGTTCGGACTATACGGTGGATGTACGAAAACATCCCAACTGAGGCTCACCAATTTTTTCCGAGTCATTAAAGATGTGCGTGGTCTGACAGTGTCATGATGGAACACAGCTCCTACTATTCTGTTGGCCAGTTTGTTCAAACGGTCGAGTTTAGTGTTTCTCCCCTGACAACTCGCATTTTTTGACATCAAAATTTACACGAGGTAATCGGAAAAACTCTACGCGATCTGGCGTTCACGCTGCTTTTCGTATTTCAAACGCACGTCAGTTTGGACGGAATCGGGCTAGCGTGGCCAGATGTATGGCCATCAACACTACATAGTGACAAAAATTTACAGGGACTCTTCATACGATCCAGTATAGGACTTTTCTTGGAAGACAAATCTAAGAGATCTGTATCAATGAGTTAGGTCAACTTTATTGTTTTTTGAGTTCGCGAACGCAGCAATACGGAGAGACCAAACTAGTCGGTAGTGTAAATGTCTTTCTGGCCATTAAATCATCCAGAAATTAAATAAATCCGCAAATTCTTACATCAATGCTCCACCGACAGCATATCAAAAGTAATGAATTTGATTCAAGAAAATATTTTCTTTATTGGTGTTGGTTTATTCTTATAACAGATTGAAACGATGATGATTTTAAGAAAAAAGAATTTCCGAAACCGGTTTGTTCCCAAAACAAATTGACAAGGTATGACGGAAATTCGGCCCAAAATATGTAAATCGAAATATTTCCTCCTCAAAATGGCCTATCATGGGTATTCAAATTTCAGTAAACGCCTGTCTACTATCCAAATACATATATGGGTGTTTCCAGCGGAAGGTCCACCACGACAGAAAAAATAAAAGTTTTATATCTAACGTATTTACGGGCCGATTTGTCTGCTTTTTAAATATATACTGGCTATGTAAGTAGAATCATCTTTGCATAAAATGGTCTTCCTAGGTGGTGCCAAGGTCGAGATATTTCGAAAAACCGTATTTATGGTCCGATTTGGTTCGAATTTGGCGTATGTGGTTGAAACATAATAAATCATAGATTTCTAATAAATTGACCCTGAATTGGCACTGAAGTCAAAATATAAAGTATATTCTACATAAAATACATGTTTTATTTGCGTTGAAAATTCATTTAAAAGCAATATTAACAAAAATATAACGATGGAAATTTATCACGCCACGTCACGTCACGTTTCACACTTGGGGTTGTAAAAGAGAATTGAAACAATTTGCATTAATTCAAACTCTAAAAACAACTAGAATTGCTCCTAATCATATTAAAATAAGTTTCATGAAAATAGCCATCCACAATTCGCAGAGTTTTGAGATTTTGTAAGAAAAGAAAAAATCAACTTCCATTTTTTGTCACGTAACGACACTCTCTTTAAATGCTTATATTTCAGGACCAAGCAGTTCGATTGATTTCATTTTTCGGTTAAATATAGAGCTAATTATGTGCTATACAATGGCCCAAAAAAGTTAAAGAAAACAAATGGTATTCCTTTTTTGTATCACATTGAAATCGTACGACTGTCACGTGCGCCACCATGGGAATGCCATATGTAATCATTTCTGGTCCTACTTTTTATCATGAAATTATTTTGATTTTCTTTTTCAAATGCAAAGCCTTTTACCGTAAAAAATGTACTCAAAGTATAAGATCACATATGAAAATAAAACAAAAGCAATCCGTGATGTAAACATAAATGTCATATTCATAGTAGCAATAAACACATCAGTTAGTACATACTTATATATGTACTTATGTCATAAATAATGCATACATATACTGCGCATAAAAACGTGGCGCGTGAGTTTCACATAGCCGTAGTTAGTCAAAAGATTTGTTGTATCCTAATTATTAATTAGGCTCTTGGAGTAGTATATTTTCTTAGTGTATGGATGTAGCTCTCTTCACCTTAGCAAAAATATCTTTTAGAAGAGTTAGAACACTCAAAAAGGTAGAAAAAAACAACTTCAACGTTATTCATGACAGATAGTTATCAAGCTTTCTAAGTGAGTCATTTCAGCAAACAAGCTTGTTAAAAGTTGCTATCTAAATCAATAATCTGCAGATGTTATCACCAAAACAAACCTCGCACAATGTTGGGCATAGCGCGTAAGCTGCTCTAGCCGACATAGATAAATAAATATACGTATACATATGTACATATGTATTTGGCATATTTCTACTTATTTATTATACATATTTATATGTATGTACATTGTCTACATGAATATTCCCTCAGCGGGTCGCATTAGAAGTCTATAAATAAAATTTGTCTGTGATTCGATTACGGCGTTCAATATTAAATTACTCTGGCGGCAGGATTCCCTTCCCGGGCTACATTTTCTATGATGCCTTGGCTAATACTTCTCAGTTTTTATTTAATGTCTTAAGTTTGGACATGTTTTCTTTTTTAAATAACTACATAAATAGTATGTACGTACGTATGTACGTTCGTAGATGAAAATATGCCTGTGACATACTAACTTATTAATGCTTTGCACAGTGTTTAGCGACGAATTAAAAATTCACGAAATATTGAAAACTTACAGCTTAGAAGATAGGAACACACTTTTTTTAGAGAGAGATAATGCTCTTCGTCTTCAAAAATGTTTTCAAAATAACTCGTTGAGTTATATCAGATCAAAGTCAAAATTTTGTCGAATTTTTTCGGTTAAAAAAATCCATCTTAAAAATATTTCAAAATTTTTAAATTTTCGAAGATGTCTTGATTCGGTACATTCCATTGTGCGATTTTATTGTGCGTGTGAATGTTTCAATGTATATCCAGACAAGGCAACATAAATGTCAACAGCGCTTGTTTGTTTGATGTCATAAGCTGAGGCAGCTAATTTAAATAATGATTTTACAAATCTGATACAATTCACTTAGACAATGCTTACGTTGTTGTTGAGGGGATTCCGAACATACATATTTACTACACATAGTTGTTTTTTATAAAAATATGGCTTCTGCTTTAACAACAACCATGTACATAACTCACACATTCAAACTTTATAAAGAACTTCGAAAAATTTCCCAAATTTTTATCTAAATTTCGAGCCTTTTAACCAGAATTTTTATAAAAAAATTGTATATGCAATTAACAGGCTTATAAAATTTTAGTAAAATAAGTGAAATTTTGAGCAGCTTAAAAATTGCTTTGATTTTTAATAATTTTTTTTAAGCTGACGGCTTTTGCGGTTATTTTTCATATAAAGAACGAAATTTAGGAAAACTGACGTTGACATTTTTTATTTTATTTTTTTCGCAAACGGTCTTGCGCAATATTTTTCCACAAGAAATTTATATGGAAAAAAGTTCACAACGCCGTCAACAAAAAAAAAATTATTAAATATCAGAAACATTTTTTTAATCCGGTTAAAAAGCTCGAAATTTAGATAAAATTTTATGGAATTTTTTTATATTCTGTGTAAGTTATATAGTTCTAAATAGAGCATGAGCAATATTTTTATTAAGAAATAATTAAAAAATTTTGCTTGAAAAGCATTATAAATATTAAAAACAAAACTCCATTCATCCACTTTTGATCGCCAGTGTATGTATGTGTGTAGGTAAATACGCATTATTTTGTCGGAATAAAATAAACAATCCGAAAATTTAACCCACTGAAAAAGTAGTTCCTTAAGCTATAGTACCTACCAGGTTGACCGAGCTTTGCTCGGAGTGCATATATTTTTTTAAGTTTTCAAGGTTTGGATATCAAATACTGGTCATTTAGATAGCTTAAAATAATATTTTGGAAATAAATTTAAAAAAAAATTGGATTATGATATCTATAAAGTAAGTAATTTTCTTACTTTAAAATTTAGGTGGCAACCCTATTTAGCAATACGCTACAATGAGTAGTACGTACCTTGAGCGTATACGTTCTATGTATACATACAAAAAAATGCTGATTGAAACAAACAAAATAAAAATTTGTTTAACATAGAAGCGTGGCTACCCACCACCACCAAAGTTACCTTTCATATTACCTTTCATAATACCTTTCATTTGATATCCATATATCGAGACATTTAAAAATCTTCATTGCCTTCGATCAACAAAGCGTTACTGCATTTCTAGCTGTCAAAACCTGAAGTATGTCAAAGCAGTCTTTAACATGCTTGTCGTTTATCGTCCTGTTATCGAGTGCCCAAATGGCTGTTGGTTTATCTCAAAAGATATTTAAAATCCCGCGCTTTAAATCCTTTTGATCATTTAATCGGGCGCAGTCGAAGATTACCAATACTTCATCCATCTGCCTATTGGAATTGCCAGTTTGGAACTAGTGTTATAAATACCTCAAGGTGTTTCCTTTTTGATTATTGTTGTTTTCGATAGGGTGGGTGTATAATTTATTTGATAAGGGATGAAGGAAACTTGTTTCAAAATACATCGCCTGTACCTGCCTTATCCTCCATCCAAGAGCCGTCTGTGCTCCAATGTGCGTATCTAAAGTCAAGAGCAGGGAGTCCCTTTTGTCAAATATTCGTGGATGGGATTTTCACTGGGAAGAGGTCCTGTGGCCGAAAGATGTGTCACTTTTGAGGCACTTCTTGGCACACTAGTTGTGATCCTACTCGAAGAACTGCGCTTTTAACGACTACTGCAAATTTTTTTGTCAAGATAAGCTGAATATTTGTCTACTTAAAATTTCTAACGCAGAGGCGGCCTTCTTTCTTTCTCTCACAAGAGCAACGAGCAAAGACTTGTTTAGCCCTTAAAAATAAGCTATAATCTATGGTTTCTGATTAGAGAATTTTTGTGTTCTCTCAAAAATTCGTTTACTATTTTTTCATGTTCTAAAAGATAACTGCCTTCTTGTAACTCTCCAATTAAACGCACTCATTTTCTATTATTCCCACAATTGCCTACCATTTCATGTACAACTCAACTCCGTCATTCCACAACCAAAACCATTTGGCACTTCCAGTTCAGAGGAAGAACGCAATATGGACGATAAATTGATGTGCGATGAAGTGCATTTGCGTACATTAAGCCAGTCGCCGCTGGCGCTGCAACGCCAACAACAACGCAGACTAAGCAACCACAGCACGCGCAGTACAGCAACAAAAACCCTAACACCAATACTGCGACGGCGCTGTTCAGGCGGAAATGCTGTAACTAAGAGTAATGAATTCGAGCAACCACGTCCCCCGCTGGCGCAGCAAGAGATACTCGACGACGATGAACCCAAATGTCAGCGGGTGCGTGTGGACAAACCCACAAATATGTCGCTGAACCTCGATGTGACCGATAATGGCGATAGCGGCGTGGGTGGCGACGATGAAACTGAAGCAGATGCCGATGCCGATGCCGATGCCGATGCCGATGCAGATTGTGGTCTCACTAATCCGGCGGCACAAATTGCGGACGACAACGATGAAGCTGTGAAGGCTGATGTGAGCGATGAGGATGTAATTGACAGCAGCATATTGCGTGTGAAGGTAAGCAGATAGGAGTTGCGAGTTGTGAATTGATTAGCATAAGTGAATGTGAGACAACAAAGCGCTCATTAACTTGGTGCGTAACTTACGTTTTCATTTTCGTTCTCTATGCTTTTATATAGCAATTTCCCGATATGTCGAAAATTCCACGACTTCCTGGCGATGGCGCACAAATGGATGATCAGCAGCCAGCCACTAACACCACAGCAATAGCATCGAATTTGCGACGACCCGCAGCGGTTGCCGGACGTGGTGTGGGTGGTGGTGGTGGTGGTGGTGGTGGTGGTGGTGGTGGTAAGAATACGCCGTGGCGTGTGCAATCCGTACGCATTGTTGAGCAGAGAATGAAGTTGGGGCCGAAACGACGCACCGAAAGCTGCAGCATATTTGGCAGCACAAGCAATTATGGTAAGTTGAAATTGGAGAAAAGTCAAAGACACACACACGCACTCACAAAGCATGCATGTGTAGCCAGCCCGCAGTGCATACACAGTAATTCTGTTATTTAAAACAAACATTTGTATCTCTAATAATGTAATGTGCAATCTTTCCGTACGAGAATTTAATTGAAATTCTTCAATTTCCGGTCAACCCAATTCCCTGTGGCTTTCTACTCATTGATACCCCATGGCAACTCAATTATGAAGATTGTGAAGCAGATGCTTGCAGTCCAACAGCTCAGCCCCGACCACTGACCAATCAAACATACTCGGCATTCAAAAGCGCCAATGTCGTTAAGGGCATTCTCTGTCCATCTCTGACAAATTCATTTAAGCAGCATTCACTGGAGCGTTCTTATCTTTTGTATACGCATCGTCAACGACAAAAGTCACTGATCATTGTAAATCTGGTCGATTTTATGCTGAAAGTAACGCTTGCAACTATTTGGTTCGTTAAGGAAGGAAATGTCGAAGGCAAAGCGGTGAGTATTTTTGTACATACATAAAGAAAAAATCGATACTGTTTTTCCATTGGAAATATAAAATTTATTATAGCATTTTAAGAATTCCGTCAAAATATTTACGACTACGATTTACGTGCGTCTAACCTATTTCAAATAACTCCGAAAATCGAGCTTTTTATTTTATCGAAAACTTTTTATTTTTTTTTCTAAAAAATCACTTCGGATAATAGAAGAGTTTAATCATAAAAGGTCTTCATAAAAATGTTTAAAAAATAATGAGATTTTTGGAGGTATTTTCAAATCGTTGTATCTCAGGTAAATCTTAATAATTTTCCGAAAGATTTTGTCGGGATTCTTAGTAATTTGGCTTTAATTTATTAATTGAATCGCCTCAGCTTAAAAGGTCTGCATAAAAATGTTTAAAAATAATTTTAAACGGTATCAAAATAATAAGGATTTTAGAGGCATTTCAAATTGTTTCAGCTCACGCATATCTTAATATTTTTTCGAGTTATTTTAGCGGATATCTTAATATATAATATAAATTTTATAATTCCGTTGGAAAAACTGCAACATTTACATATATATAATATATATATACATATAAAAGACATATGTGGCCCAAACACTGTTAATTGATTGGTTTCTTGTTTTTTTTTTTGTTACTTTTTGGCCTAATAACTATTTATATCAAAACATTTTATTGGGCTTAGTGCCATTTTTAGTGGAAATATAAAAAAAATATACCATATTTTCTTTGTTTCAAGCTAAAACACATATGATTTGGCGCCAAACGACCATTTGTTTGCTTTTAAGAGATTTAATTTTGGAGGTTTTTTCTTTTGAATATGATTTCGTTCTGTACTTCTCAGATACTTTTTCGTAATGAAGAAAAACTAAAAAAAACTAAAAATTTTACGTTCCCCCTAATAGTGTTCGAAACCTGATCCTTCTGTAAGCGAAGGAAGCACTCAGTTACAGTCCCAACAAGTAATCAATGCGGTTGTTCCGCCTTGCCTGGTTATCAGCTTATCTGGCTAAAAATTATTATTCTGTGGCGTATTTTATTGTTGTACACAAAATAAAAAATATAACCACATAACCTGATAACTAGGCAAGTGTGAATAACCACAATGTGAATTATGTTTAAGTTTGTTTAAAATATAATTTTTCTCTTCAAAAATTACAACCCGCTAACACGGAAAAACCAAAAATGACTCTGCATGAAAGAAATAATGTTACTTTTTTATTAAGGCTCAGTTAGTCTAGACTTAATTTCCGTAACGTAACCTAATATATTGGTAAACGCAATATGTTTTTGTTCAGGAATTTTTTGATGTGGCTTACAGCGGGCAAAGTGGCCATCAGCTGAAAAGGAAAATATAAAAACCAAATATTTTCGCTTCTTACGTAAGTTAAGTCTAGACTATAAGTGTGTGTAAGGTAGCACATGGACACCAACAAAACAATATTCGATCTTCCAATATCGTGTCGCATGACGAAGAAATTTACACATCGATGGCCCCGGGCTAATTTATCTCAACTAGTCTAAAGCTGTCAGTCTACCCTATCTTGACGCCGTGCGAAAGGCTACCCCAACTCGATGAACTATTCTAACTTTGCAGTAAATCAGCACTGTAGGACAAACAATACTAAACTTTGTCAATCATTGTATCCGAACTCAAACGCGCCTATTTTTTGTGTTAAGCTGTTAAGCAATGAAGTTTAAATTTCCCTCAAAATGGACTGTTGTACGCGCACTAAACACTGATTTGGGAACCGTACACAGTGAGAACAAATTCAACTCTTTTAAGGACTTAAGTACCTACATACATATATTACGAAACTCTCTCCTATATCTCTTCTGAGGGAATAAATTAAATTAAACGCAAAACTAACAAATTATATTCTCGCATTATGCTGGGTTTTCTCGCTGCTCTTCTTTTGAAGCCGACATCAGCAGAAAACCAGACTAAAAAGCAAACAAGAAGTAGTAGTAAACTCATAAAATTGACTGCTTTGTTGACTGATGTTGATACCAGTGGATGTTGAAGTAAACTAAGCTCTCTTACATACTTACAATGTACATACACACTTACAAGCATAGGTACACCTATGCGTATACTTAATGACCGAATTATGTCTCGAAATTCTGTATTTGTCTATTTTTTTCAAACAGGGCAACGGTACTTACAACGCCCTAACGAATAGCGATTCAGAGGATGTGAAATTGTCAACGGCAATTACCTGGTCCGTTTGCTGTATTGTGGCCAATGTAAGCATTTGCTGTTTGGGCTTTTGGAGATGCTTTGCCAACAACTATTTGCACTGGGCAGCCGTATGTACATGGGTTTTAATGAATATACAAGGTAAGTAATGGAGCTAAAATACAGGATGCAACATAAATTTGTATATTTTTATGCACTTTTTGTGTGAATTAATTCAATTTTAAATGCAAGACTACCACGAAAATTCATTCTCCTAGAAAATTTCGGAAAGAGAATTGCAAATTTGTCCACGAATTACAAACTAACCTAATTTAATTTATGAATTTGTCTAAAATCATTAAAAAAAATAACGTCGAAAGCACTGGTAAGGAAAATCTAAAGTTTTGAAATTACACAAAAAAAACTCCGAAACATGTAAACCTAAGATTGGGTTATAGATTACATGATTTTTCCAGATAAGGCCAATTTGCCTGAAAAAAAATCAAACAATAACAAAGAAAAAATAAAAAAATAAGAAATCTTTTGTAATTTTTTTTTAATTTAGATTAAGACTTGTTCTTTTACTAAAATTCCAGCTACTAGCGCTGAAAACCAATGGATAAACAAACAAGTTTTGAAGAGTGAAAATGTGCAATAATTTTTTGTATGAAATAGGGCCAGAAAATAATGTTACCAATACGCCACATGGCCGTCCTCGAAAATACTCGTACATGGCGTATGAGTAACATTTTCCATGTTAAATTTTGTTTTTTTTTCATTTCCAATGCAAATTTAAAATCAAAAAATATCTTGTGAAAATTACCTGATCTAGAAAAATGGTATACAGATTCATAATCTACGAACCAAAATTTATTTTAAGTGTTTTTTTTTGTCATTTTAGCTTCCCTGCATTGAAATTTAGAATGTCTTGAAACTTTTGCTGAGCTGGTTGGTTGGTTAGTTTGGGTAATGTGTCACCCTAGGGACAAGCAATTAGCAAATTTTAACGATTTTGATGACACTGTACTCCAATGACATTTGTTTTCAGTAGAAAGCTGCCATCAAGGAAGCTGTAGACTCGCTTCTCAATATTTTACTTGCAAATGGTTTTGAGGTCCATAAATACTTCAAGATAATTTACCTTTTGTGAGAGTTCCAATTCTGTACTTCACTCAAAGGCATCCCTACTAACCCGTATGAAAAACGACATCCGTTAAATGCCCACCACGACCCCTCTGGCAATAGTATGCACATATTAAATAAATATTATAAATAAAAGTCTTCAATAACTGTTATCTAAGACATATAATATAAAAATTAAAAATAATTGTTATTTTGGATTTATAATATAAAAATCAAAAGTAATTGTTATTTTTTAAATTTTGCTTAGAAATTGCAAATAAAAATTTATTTTCAAATTTGAGTCTCGGTGAAAAAAGAAATCGATAGGTATGTATCACTTAGTTGTAGAACATTTCTTTCATAGTGAATTTTTCAATGACAGTTTTCATCAATAACTGTTATGTTCGGTCTCTACTTTTAGGCGTTCTTCAACTGAGTAGCTCTCCATAATTTAGTTTTCCAAAATTACAAACCAATTGCTGCCAAAGATCTGTGACACCCTTGAATCACCCTATACTCGTTTAAGTACCTCAAGGTGCTCATAGTTTTACTGGCGCTCATAAACGGATCTCATTTTAGTGTATACTAAGAATTTATTTTTTTTTTACATTCTCCTCCGTTATATTGTCACAGATTGCTCCGCTTTATAATACCAATTAGATTTTTACTCGCTGCAGAGTCTGCACCAATAAGACCCATACTATTTTACTATTTATAAGAACCAAATATTTTACGAGCCTCCCATGCCGCCAAACGCAAATTTGTAGACAAAATGCAAATTTTACCACATCAAATTAGACAGCCACAAAGTTGTGCATAATTTGGCTAGAATTGCACATTTCCACAATAATGTACCGCGCTATGCAAATTAATATTATTTTTTTTCACTAACTTTCTCCTTATTCTCGCTCCTCTCTCTCGCCACCACAGGTTTCGTTGGACAAGGTATTGGCTTCACGTATCGCGAATACTTGGTCTGGTACATCCTGTTCGTGATATTTGTGCCGTATGCAATGCTGCCGTTGCCATTGAAATGGTGTGTCGTCGGCGGTACCATCACAGCTAGTTGTCATCTGGCCGTAATTACCATAATTAAAGTTAGACGGAAAGAAGTACGTACCCAGGTTGAAGAGCGTACTGTTAGTTGGCGAAGGTTATAACTAAATAGCGTCTGTCCAACTATTTATTCGACATATTGCATGCTGTGGCCTTTGAAATATTTATTTTATTGCATAGCAAGGAAGGCTGAAGAATGGCTGCTGCTGCGCTGCACTCATTTTATTACATTTTCCATTGAAATGTCAAACGTTTTTCTGCTTTTCACATACATACTTTTGTTGTTTAGTGTTGCTCTTTATTTTATATTTCTATTTCTATTTGTTTTTTTTTTTTTTATTTTATCGTTAGCAAGCTGATTGCATTGTATTTCAAATATTCGCCAACTTCATTTTGTACACGGCAATTAATGTGGCTGGCATGTACACCAAGTATCTGACGGACCGTGGGCAGCGCCTTGCTTTCATCGAAACACACAAAGCGATGGAACATAAAAAAGAGTCGGAAAAGGAATTGCAACGAACACAAAGATTGCTGGACTCAAGTAAGTGAAAAAAAAATTAGCAGTACTTTAAAAATGGTGATTTGATTTTATAAATAATTAGTTTTTAATTTTTTTTAGCAAATATTTTTGTTAATTTGTAAACTTTCAAGTAGGAAATGACGTTTTCTTGTAAGAAGCGTGTTATGATATAAATATCGATAAAAATATCGATAAAATATCAATAACAAAATCGATAAAATTATCGATACCAAAATCGATAAAAATATCGACAACAAAATCAATAAAAATGATTTTAAAATTAACCAAAACGTGATAGAATCTTTCACTTAGGCTTAATTTAATCCTTCAGCTTTCGATTACAATCCCTGAGAATACCATATCTGCGCCTTAACCCTAAGGTTACTTATAGTCATTTATCGAACAGCAAAAACTGATTTTGAAAAAAAAAATTTAATAGCACAATATTCTAGTATCTTTTTATTGTTCAATAAATTACTAAAAAAAATTGCGACCAAAGCGAGTGCAAAATGGTCTTTAGGACCTCGATTCCGCACACATCTGTTCCCTTAACCAAAGACACAAAAATATTCCGGGTGGAACTAATTGAGACTGCCCCCGTCTTATTACACAGGCAATATGCCAAAATATAGATCCCCATATTTTCAGAACTTCAATCTGTTCTCAAAGCTTTAGATAGCTCCCTATTTTTTTTCTTAGAGTATTAAAATATGAAGGCAGTCACACACCAGGCAGTTGTGTGCTCTAACAGGGATGAGTGCCGCTCTACTGTCAGAGTGTACATATATAGTTTTGTTCCTTAGCGGCTCCACAATCTACATACTTTCTCAGACATTGTTCAATGGCATGCACCTCGGCCTAAAGGACGGAGTGGCCTTCGTTCGTGCTGGTGAAAAGGACCCTTCTGCGTTGTATGCCTTAGAATCCTGCTCCGACGCTGTGGTCAGTCTGGGAACCGTTAGTATACCAAATATGGCTTTAATTCCGGGTTTTAGAATGTTCGTTGTCTCAGTTTATTCTTTTGCGGAAAAACACCTTGACATACCTATAACTACAATTTAAAATCTCCTCTCGAGTGCTAAAGAGCACTCAATGATCTAGCCACACTGACTATATATATAGTTTTCCCAATCTGGGTAGCTAGTCTTGAGGCCTATGATCAGATACTTAATAAAAATGCGGACTTCCAAGCTAAAAAAAGAGCCTCACACCCAATTTGTTAAACTCTGTCAATTCCTTGGATTCAACAATAATGATATTGCAAAAAATGGGCAAAATCCTGCACTGCCAGCTATTTGGAAAATTTAAAGAGAAACCATCGCTCAAGCAAGCTCGTTTGCTTCAATGACAAAAGAGCTCAATCTGCGTTCACGCTAAGTAAGAGAAACATAAAATGGCTATGTCGAGCACTAATATGCCACTATGCTAGTAACAACAAACACCTTTTTACGCTTGGCCTTTGTAGTGCAGAGATTTGCAGGTTCTGTGATGAAAATGAGGAATCAATGGAACGCCATATAACCACCTGTTCAATATTGGCTCAGCATAGAGCCAGATTTTTTAAACGACCAAACGCCCTTATCACAACCAACCCTTATCATTCACGCCAGAAGAGCGTTAAATCAAATTGGGGTTTGCCAAATTGCAAAAACAAATTTCTTTTACTTAGCATTTTGTTGTTGTGCCGCGCTTAAATATAAATAAAAGCATGCTATAAGAGGTTTTTGGTATGAGGAATCTATTTCTGGACTTATCGTTTTCCTAAAACATCCGCCAGAGCGCACAACTGTGAATATTTTCACATTTTCTTGTGTTTTAAAATAGTAAAACGTATATACATATTACTTATCCTTGAAATTTTTTTCAATACAAACTACATGCATACACATTAGAGTGGTCCAATTTTTGTATGGGAAAAAAAATTTCATTCTAGAAAACGGGGCAGCAAATCGCATACAAATATTAAAAAAAAAATGCTGTTTTTTTAACTTTTTTCAAAGATTGTTTTGAGAAAAACTTCAATAACTGGACCATAGCTATTCCGATTTCGACTTGTCCCATTCGACTTCCCACTCATTTTATTTCTGTGCAAAAAAGACTCATTTAAGCACTTCTTTACGACACTACAGCAAAATACTAAGTAAAAGAAACATATTTTCGCAATTTGGCAAACTCCAAATTGATTTTAGACCCATGGTTTCTTTGGAAAAATTGCTTAGAATTACATGTAGAATCCTCCAAGTCTATACGCCTATAGTCTAAAGAGTTTCCCATACAAATTGACCCGCTCTAATATACGTACATATATTTCATTTCATTTATGTATTTGCATACATACACCGTACGTTAACCAACAAAAATTGTGAAAATTTCAAGGTATTCCGTATACTTTTGCATATCATCAAGTTACCTGGATTATCATTCGAAACTTTTGTCAAGAATATAAAATGAAGAAAATCAAAAGTGAAGCCACACTTAATTTTTTGTTTACTTTGAAGTGGAACAAGAAACTTTTCCATCAACTTTTTTGAAATTTCTGTGCAAATGCGGAAAATCACCACCAAATTTCATTATGAAACTCTGGCATAATTTAAGGCACTTTTCGCCTACGCATGCGCTGTAACTGTAATATACATATGTATGTGTGTACGTACATACATACGTGAATTCAACTCTTTACGCCCTAAATTTTGCTATGCGTAGGTATGTATGTATGTATGTAACATAAAGTTACAACTCGCAAAGTTTGAGTTGAAAGTTAAAATGATTAAAAAAAAGTTAATTCTTGAGAATTGAAATTATTTTGAACAAAAGCATTCGCCGTGTGTGGACTGTGGTTTAATGTTTTCCACAAATATTCACATTTTTGCACGAATTCTTATGTGGCTTGATTATTAAAGCAGGGATTTCGTTTTATTATTGTTATTATTATTATTTTTTAATTATGTTCATCTTCTTTTAGTTATTAAATAATAGCCCTGTTTGTATGCCTTGTTTCTTCCGCTTTTAGTACTTCCGAATATAGTGAATAATCAAATTCGCGCTGAGATGTATAAAGGCACAGATCCCACTGTCGAAACGCAATTTAATAAACTCTATGTGTATCCGATGGATAATGTTAGCATACTGTTTGCTGATATTAAGGTGAGTACGTAAAGCGAATAATTAAAGCCTAAAAATTGTTGAAAAAAAAATTGAAAAATTCAGGCGAAACTGCATTAAATGCAGCTTTTAATAAACTTTACAATTTAACTTCAACCAAAAGTTGTTCTCTGGAACTTTTTTATATTTTTCTCACCTTTTTGGTTGTTGTTGCATCCGATTGTGTGGTTGCATTTTTTTATTCAGTCTCCAAGTATAAAATAACCTGAAACACACTAGTGATATACGCAAGTAATCTAATATGAAGAGAGGTATTAAAAGCTGCTACGATTCTTACTTTGTCTTGTTTTGTTTTTTTCTCTCCAACAGGGTTTCACTGAACTGGCAAGTAAAACTTCCGCCCAACAGCTTGTCAAAATTCTTAATGATCTGTTTGCTCGCTTTGATCGTATCGCCGAGGTAAGTGTCATATTTGTCTGTATGTATGTATGTATGCGTTTCAGCCAAGGACAGTCCGTTACTTTTTCTGGTATCCAAATCCTTATTGGGAAGACTTTTTTTCGTTAAAAATTTAGTTATTTATCTTTTTCATAGTTGATCGTTATGATTGAGTTGTTTTTTTTTACTTTCAAGAAAAAGAGATTTGATAAAATTTTCTACAAAAGGTTTTAGCAAACCCTTCACAGCAGAAATCTTTATCCAGAGACCTATCCAAAACAACACAACCCCGAACCACGCTGCTTTGTTGGAGTTTTTTATAAATCATCTTTTGCAGCCTGTCGTTTATCAGCTCCATCTCTCTCTTTCATTATACCTCATCATCTTGAGGGCTCTGCGGAAATCAAAATCAGGTGTGACTTTTATTCTTATCGCGTGAATTCCGATCAAATGCTTTGTATTCATAAAGGACTCCTTTATCAACCCTCGATCTACCCTGGATCAGGGGTACCATGCAATTGCGCAAATCCTAGTTTTCGTCCAACGTTCTCTGAGCTGATATGATACCCATCTGTCCAAGAGTGAACCAGAGGCGGGCAACTCTTAAGTCAAGCAAATTGCCGCAAGAAACTCTTGCCCGCTACACTGGTTGTCGCTTGGTTAAGTATTAGAATGCATATGCTTATTCGCCTTATAGACGTCGCAGTTTTGCGCAGTTTTTCTGCTACTTTTTTCATGGCAACCATTTCAGCCTAAGAAACGCCACAGAAATCATGAAGTCTAAACTGTATATTGATAAAGATGTAATGGCAGAAGACCCCTGCTCTAAAATTTCCTTTAAGCATCGACCCATCAACTACCCCACCCTATGCAATCATCTAGTCAGGAAAAGTACATATGCAGATAAATAGCTACTTAGAGCCACTTTACAACCGCATTGAAATCGAAGAGAAAAGCGACCAGACGATGAGCTCTTTGGGCATCCGGCTGCAACAGGCATTTTGACAGTTTTCTATCTAAAGTCAGACCCAATTACTTCGCCCCGTCAGAAAGCTGAGACGTACACTCCCAGTTGAAGGAAAAGTTGCTTTGGAGTTTTGGATCAGATCATATGCGGTGTCCTCAAATCTACTCTTAACCACAACCACGTTTCTATCGGTTGTGATAACTGTAAAAACTTTCGCTCCTGTGTCGAGCTTCGGTTAAAATTTTAAACGCAAAAAAAAAACAAATCGTTTTCCGACTTCGTTTATATTCTTCTCCCGAAGCATTACTCTCGACTCATTGGAATCACTAATCTAATGACTCCACCGCGCCTACTTTGGCTTGCTGGGTATTTAGTCTTAATTGCTCTTCGTTTTTCGTGTTCTTTTTGTTTTCGAATCTGGACACGCATCTCGGCATTCGATATCGAACGCATCTCGAATAGAAACTTGAAACTTACACTAGCGGGTCGGGTGCGTTTCATCAATTTAAATTGTATTAGGTAGAAATCAGCTGTAATTTAATTCGATTCGATTCGAAACTAGTAATCATTCGATCACAAATTCCGCGGTTCGGCGCCTAACCTCTGCCTGCTTACCTTTGGCTAGCTGAAAGCTCCCACTCTCGATCCAAATTCGAAACGCTGTGCTACTTTCTTTTCTAACGTGATCCATGTCTTCTCTAACCGGCTTATACTCGGTCTCAGACGATGTTGCTATTAAAGTCACCGTTAGATCCACTGACCTAAAAAAGTCGATGTTAGAAAAGCGTCGCTGTTTCGCTTACTCAGAAAAGGTTAAAATGATTAATCAGCCCAAACTCTTCTTTAAATTTACTGGCAGTTTTGTAGCTAAAAGTTATCGATTAATTTTGTTTTTATATGCATGCCTTCGAGAATGCAAAATAGAAAGAAAACAACAGAAAATACATTTTATGTGATTTCTATGTGCATCCAAAAAATAATCCCAAACTATATGTAAATTGAAATATTTCTTGGCCATTGAACACCTACTTGGCTATCAATTGTCCATGCAACCAATGATTGCTCAGTTAAATAACTATACAGTGTACACTATCTTGTCTGGATATGTCCTTTACTTTTACTGCATCAAATGCAGTGACATTGATCCGTAGCAAATTGCGCACTTAAGTGACGGCATCATCTGTCACAGTTGACACACACATTTGCTCGCTTTCTGTTTCGAATTTTTGCAGTTACTTGAGTGTTATACTTACATAACTACATACATACATATACGTGTACATAAAAAAGCATTACATAAATTTAGCAAAAGCAAACAACAAATGGCCAGCAAAAGCCAAAGCCAAATTGCTTAAGATAAGACAAGAATGTAAACATAAAGTTTTTTTATTTTTACGTTTTTCCGGTTCTGCCCTGGCCATTGCCGCACTGTGTCGCTGATGTATGTACGTCTGTTGTCATTTCTACCAACAAATGCTGCTGCTTACTTTTATGATGCTACTACATACGTACATGCCCGTACGTGCTGCCTCCCCCCCTGTTACGTTCGCTTCATTTGACCGACCGCAACCGCAGGACAATCACTGTTTGCGTGTGAAACTCTTGGGCGATTGCTATTATTGTGTGTCACAGTTCGAGAGTGACAATTGGAAGACCCGGCCGGATCATGCGGTATGCAGTGTGGAGACTGGACTGCATATGATAAAGGCCATCAAGGATGTGCGACTGCATACGCATGTAAGTATGATGTTTGTTTGTACATATATGCACATACATATGTATGTTTTAAATATATGTATTTGTATGTATTTTCAATTATTTTAATGTAGTGGATGTGGTAAACGATTTTGTGTTGTATGAAAATACATATGTAAGAAGTGCCGTCATTTTGAGGTTGGACTTTTGAACATTGCATTAAAGTAATTAGCAAAGAAAATAATACTTAAGTAATATTCACTACGAAGCATGAAGAGATCATCAAGAAAAGTTAGCTAAATACCGTTTTTCAGCTGACTTCAAAACAGCAGGAAGGTTACAAATTCATCGGCGTATTTTATTTATTTTTTATGTATGTTACCGGCAATGTTGCCATGTTCACAGTTTTAACTGTAAGTCAAAATTTTTTGACAAGCTTAAGTTTTTTAAATTATGTTTTAGTACAAATTACAGTTTTGTCAAAATTTTAAATTTGAAAAAATAACTTAAAATATGTCTCGGTTTTTTTGGAAGTAGATTTTTATGTGAGAAAGGGGCTTTGATGGTGGAGCGTTTCTTCTTTAGAATCAAAAGGGGCCAGGTTACAGTTTTTTGTTGAAAATACTTCTTTTTTTTTTTTGGGAATTCAGAGTTTTTTATTAAAAATCTGGCAACACTGGTTACCAGATAACTTTGCACCACGTGGACCATTATCGATAATTCTTTCTATGTCGGAAAGGTGGTAACTCAAGGGTAGTAGAAATTGGGTTTGAGTTTTTTCCTTAAAAATTCCTTTTTTTTATTAAATCGAAATGTTGGCCCAAAAGAGAAAATATAAATTTTTTGAAGAAGCGAATCCCTAATCAAACTGCAGAAATATCGAAAGTCTCCGCAAAGTGCCGAAAAATTTCTCGAAAATCTCGAAGATCTCGAAAAATCCTGAAATCGTGAAGTCCTAAAAAAAACTAAACTTTTTGAAACCCGAAAAATCTTTTAAAAAATCCAGATAGCGTTAAGATGGCAGAGATGCATTTAGACTAGGTAAGTAATTTTCCTTCGGGTTACCATATACAAGAAGGCCTTCCTTTAAGAAAAAAAAAGTGAAACTCAGAGTGTTTAAACTTAAACCTCTCAAAACGTGGGCAGCTGCGTAGCAGGTATTGTTCCACCTCATCAACCTCCACACAGCCAGCAGTAATAAGAAAACTTTGTTGCTGCATTTTAAAAGCTCCTTTAAACTGTCCTGTCCGTTAGTGCTAAGAAAGACGCCACCCTGCGGTCCAAGATTTTCGCCCAGCGTTCGCTGGATTGAGTAAAAGTCCATCAGTCCAGAAGCAAACCCAAGCCAAAGGATCGCTGTTGCCTACGACATTACTGTAGCCTGAAGTTAGACATTCTCTGACGATTTAAAACGTATCACCGAACAGCGAAGGGCATGCGTATTAGAATAATTACATACGTATCTATATGTATTTATGTTCATCTCCTTAAAATTTGAGCATCGAGGCGGCATGATTCCTTGATTGTGGTTACCTCAGCTTGAAAAATCATTGCGAAATGATAGGTATTTCTGATAACTTTAATACAGAAAATATTTTCACTTAGGGCTGCCATTATTTTTAACACAAACTTGTATATTACTAATTTCAGCGAGCATCTCTTCAGCCCGGCACACTTCTAAATAGGATTGCCACCTAATTTTTTATGAAAAATACTTTCTTAATTTGATATCTAATATCAGAAGCTAAAATATTTTAAATCAATTTCAAAAATATATTTTTTTTATCGAATTTTGAGGTATCTATTTATTGACAATATTTTTTGTTTATCGACCTACTTTTCTCAAAGTGTTTTATTTTCATTTCGCTTCACTGAATACTGGGCTACTTATTAGGCTAAAGTATTAACGCATTGCTAATACTTCTATTAGCAATATTACATAGAAAAAAAATATATAAGTTAATGCTGTCTAAATGACCATTACTTGATACCCAAACCTTGAAAACTTTAAAAGGTATAAGCACTCCGTGCAATGCTCGGCCAACCTTGTACTTACTTATTAACAAGAATCAGATCTGTAATTTTTCCCATTTCCGAGATGCTGCCACTTATGGCGGTATGGATCACACCAATAAAATAACAATTAGTAATTTTTTCTAAGTGTAACGTCGGCTTAACCCTGCAGCCATAAGGCGGTCAATTGTCCGTTAAGGACTAGTACTTCACTGGCTAAAATTTTAATGGTCAGATTTGGACATTTGCTTGCATCGAAAATGTCAGCCTTCGACCAGTCCCCAAGGAACCGGCCTAGAGATAGACGAAAGGTACAGTTTGGCAGTGACAGGGTGGTGTTGTCTTTCAATTCAATAAAAAAATTTAAAGAACACCACCCTGTAAATGTCCCAATCGCTTGGTCTGGCCTTGATGCAAAGTGAACATTTGAACACACATTTACATGCGTGGCTGTAGCTCAGTGCGCAGAGATGCTTGCCACTATTTGTTAGCTTTCAGGAGGGTCCGGGTTCAAATGCCGTCAGAAGCAACATGGTTATAAAATGATAAATTTTTTTTTTTTTTTGTGTTTCCGAATTATGAAAAAGCATCTGCGAAGTGCAGAACGCAATCTTACTCCAACCAAAAAAAAATCTCCAAAATTGGACTAGTCTAGGACTATCTTACGGTCAGTCACGCCAATGCTAAAAATGGCAGTTGAAACCATTGGCAGGGGAATTATGAGGGACTAGTACTCTGGTAACAATAGGACTATCTGAGGGCTAACCTAGGGTGAGTCTGAATTGCTGCAGGGAATATATGAAAACACACACACATACATACTTATTTATTAAATGCATCCATTAACACTTTGTGTTGGGTTCGCGTGATAGTTGCACACGTGATTGCACAAAAAAAAACTGACAGCAGGACAGTTTGGTCGGGAAAACGGTTCTTTATTGACCGGCACTTGACTTCATTCATTGCTTTTTTTTTTGTTTTTTTTGGTTATGATGGCGCCAAAACAAAAACGTTGTGGGCCTCCAATATCATAAATGTGCCAAGCAATACAAGCAATACAATACAAGCGCACATTAACCGTGCGAGAAAAGGTTCACATAACAACAACAGCACAGATACATATGTACATATGTGTGTGCATGAAAGTGGACATATTTTTTTTATTGTTGCCACACGAAAAGCTCGAGGTAACAGCGCCAATATTGACAATTCATTTGCATGTAAATCACTTTGAATGCATTTTGCCGCCTCAGCAGCAAACCGAAAACTCTGTTGTGTCACACACACACACACTCATATCTACACGGAAAAACAATACACTATATACGTATATAGTGCACTGTTGAATAACGCATGCATATTTATGGAAGTTTATACCTATATGTACATATCGAGCCCTAACCGCCAAAATAACGTAAGCGACATTTTTTCAAAATTTTCTTTTTGATGCAGAAATATTCCTATAGTATCAAGATGCATTTCTGCATCAAAAATAAAATTTTGAAAAAAATGTCGCTTACGTTATTTTGGCGTTTAGGGCTCGATATGTACATATTTGCATGTAGGTACATATTTATATAAATTACTTACAAATTGCTGCGATTTTGCGCAAGTGAAAATATATGAAATTTAATGCTTAACTGTTGCGAATAAGCAAAAATGCATTAAGGTTATAACGAAAAGCAAATATCGATGAGTATACAAAATGCTAAAAAAAAAAACTTGTAAATATTTCAAATTCTGCATCAACAATGTCTGCAAATTATGGCTTCAGGGTCATTGTGGTTTCATGCAGGCTTTTGTAGCCACATTGCGCTTCCGTTTCATCTTCACTGGCTATTCGTGTACGTATACACTTACATACATATATGAAATATATTCATGTAGGATATTCTCATGTGCATACATACATACGTATGTGTTTTTTGTATGATTTAGAATGCTCATACAAGAGCCACATCGACCGCAAACGCCGACAATTTAAAGGCCGTTTTACTTTGAACTACTCCGGGTGTTCCAGCTTGAAGTCGGTGTAACAGCCGCAATATTGCTCAATGGCAAGTAGCCAAAATGTACAGCGAATGTACATAAATACAGAAATTTATAAATTATACTTATGTGCATTAGGGTGGTCCAAAAACAGTTAAGTCGGAATTGTAATGCTCTCACCACTCAGGATTGTTCTATATCGAAAAAAGTATACCCCTGTTTTTTTTTATTTTGAAATCAAAAAATATTTAAAGGTCGCTCAAAGCGCTCAAAGTTTTCCATGTATTTTTATATGGGAAAAAAACAACTTTTCGTAGAAATGGTATAGAATTCTTGAAAATCAATATTTTTCGTTCGGAAAATTCTGGTTCACTTCAAGAGACTTTCAATAATAATACCCAATTGTTTATTTAACCATTTTTTAATACTAACGATTTTCCGCCCATTGCATTTTTCGGAGTTTTTATGGGTTTTTGGCGGAACTATAAATTATAGTTGCGATGAAAAAATGGTTAAATAAACAATTGGGTACTATTATTGGGAATCTCTCGCAGATAAACAGAATTTTCCGATAGAAAAATATTGATTTTTAAGAATCATATACCGTTTCTACGAAAAGTCGTTTTTCTCACATATAAAATACATGGAAAACTTTGGGCGCTTTGAGCGACCTCTAAGTATTTTTTGATTTCAAAATATAGAACAATCCTAGGGGGTGAGAGCATGCATTTTTGGACCACCCTAATGTCCGTACATGAATTTGCAGGTACGTATCGTGCATACAAATACGTTGCAATCGCTTTTTTGTTTTTTTTTTTCAATGTGTTGCCTCTATTTTACTTCTCTGCAATTCGCATACAAAAGTCACAAACTCGCTTCATAAATATTCGCTTCTGCGTATTTTGGTGTTTGTTCTGTGATCCCTTTGGCCTTTGGCTGTAGTATTCATTTCACAAAAGCATAGAGTTGCTTTTCGCCGTTTTGCTTTTCATTCAAAAACCATTTTGCCTGTATGTAAATTCATGCAGAAAATCTAACTTTACTAGTCTTACTGTGAAAGTGCATACATATGTATGCTTATATATGCTAGTTGAGCTCGCTGCTTAACTAAGGATATATGTATAGTAACGGCTAAGCTCAAGGAGTCTTTCGGAATTCGGCCTGGAAGGAGCTTGGAGTTTCTTTAGTTGTCTCATTCCGTTTGACTTTCGCCAGTGGGCATTAATCTGAAATTCTTTCTAACTCCTTAGGTTAGGTTAGATTATCTCGGCTGCCATCATTCCTGAGGAAAAGGGCACACTTAGACCGCCATGGGCCCGTTGTGATGCCATATTTATTTGAGGCTCCATATGTCCCTGCTCTTGCCTTAGATATGGAATCACTTCGTAGCTCTGATGAAGCGCAAAAAGTTATAGGTACTGGCTGAATCCAGTTCAGCCAGACATTCGAAAGAATAATGGTAGCATAGGCAGTGATCCACGCTTTCGGTTTACTCCTCATCACTACAGCTACCACAGTAGTCGTTCCGTATGGTTTTCAAATCGGTTAGGTAGAACCGCCAAACGAACGGAGATAAAATTAATGTTAGCGTATTAATATACATATAGATAATATATTGGCGCTTACACATATGTTAGTGTTTGGCCGAGCTTCTCCTCCGATCTGTGGCGTGCGCCTTGATGTTGTCACACAAAGTGGAGGGACCCACAGTTTTACGCCGACTCTGAACCAGGGTAACCATTAAAAACTTTTTTTCTTTTAATCACGAAAACAGCGTTTAACAGAATTAAATACATTTATTATTCCTAGTTCCAGGTAAAAAAAAAATATCAGATAAATAGCTACTATATATACACATCCATATATAACACACAAATATAGTTGTGTGTGCTTTTAACCAGACCCACCTAACGACATGCAATTCAACCCGCTGAATCCGAATCTGAGGTCCGTTTGACTTCTTCACTATCAAAATTTTGAGTAGGTAATTTGCGAAAAAAACCAAAAAAAAAATTCAATAAATTCAAGTAGTTTATAATATTCGCGGGTTTGGCATTAATTTTTTTAAGTTGCGGTTAAAAACTCTGAGATTCTTCGATTTACTGGAAATGTGACTAACAATAAGTTGTTGTTTTTTTAGTTTTCGTGTATGATAAAAAAATAACCTATTCTGTAAGCACGTATATATTTTTTTTTTTTTATTATGCATTTTAATCACTCTTGATGTGAAGTGAAGTGTTGAAACTATTATCGATTCGAAATACTGTACAACGAATAGAAGTTATATTCACATTGAGTCTTTAAAATTCTTAGGTGATTGCTAATAATTTACTTTTATGACAGATTAGAAATTTAAAATGGCAAATTTTATTAAATCACAAAAAAAAAAATATCAAAAAATTATATTCCATATTTTTACTATAGTCAACGATATTTCGTTTCACTGTCAATGCTGGTTATTTAGTTCAACAATTTTGTTTTTGTTTATCGTCAGGTTGATCTGAATATGCGCATTGGCATTCATAGCGGCTCAGTGATGTGCGGCGTTTTGGGCAATAAAAAATGGCATTTTGATGTTTGGTCCAACGATGTTATTATTGCCAATCATATGGAATCTGGCGGTATTCCTGGGTGAGTAATAAATTTAAATTTTTTGTGTGAGTGTATGTACATAGGCATGTACTTACATATCTATTCTTGTAAATATATGGTGCATATGTAATATTTTTTTTTTTGCCATGGAAATTTTTTTTTAATGTTAAAAATCGTACATTTTATCAAGCGAGCAGAAAACCAACAATGCCTTTTGAAATGATTTTTTTTCGGCGTGTTGTTTCAAAGGACACCTGCTAACATGACGTGTATGAGTAACATTCAGAGGATGAGCCAAAATTTTCAATTAAAATTCGTTTATAGTTTTTAATGGATTTTTCGCATAAAATGCAATTTCCATATTAGAAAAAAAAATTATTTTCCTCTTGCAGGTTTTTTTCGCGTACTATTAATTAAAAAGTAGAAAAATTTCTATGTATGTGTGTAAGTAGTACAAGGTACAAATTTATCCCTTTTCATAGAAGGCAAAAAACATTATTAAATTACTGATGGCTAAACAGGTGGATTATATTAGAAATGTTACTTTGAAATAGTTCACCAGCACTATGCCGAACCGCAGGATTGCGCCAAGATGAGTCGACACTAATTCTATCCTTAACCATCTCGGGGAAGTGCTGCTAGCATAATTAGCTCAAACGTTTTTTTTTATTATTTATAAGGTGCGTTTTTCTAGCAAACCTAAAACAGAATGGAAAACAATTTTAAAAAATTTTAGAAAGTTTCCTTACAATTTAGTGTGTTTTCCGTCACAGTAATATTTACTACTAGGCCTCAGTGAAATTAGCCTTAGACCTTTCACAACACCACAAATGCCTTCTGATGACGCATGATCTCTGCAGAAAATTAACTTAATGCTTCTTAAATAATTCCTAATCGGCTTTTACCGCCGGAAGCATCGGAAGCGGCGCTTGTTTGAAGCTGAGAATTTTTGCAGTCATGTTAGGAAACATATCTACGAACCCACGGACGAGGTCTGATAACTGGGCTGACCAATTATCCCTAGGCCACGAAATACATTAACGGCCTTCAGGTGCTCTCGCGCGGCGACAGCTGCAATATGAGACCCGTCGTTTTCTAAAATCAAAAGCAGCCATTGCATGCCACACAAGTGAAGGATCCCCACTTGCCGCAAACCCTATTTTCTTTCGCCCCTAAACCCCACTCAACTTTGGTCTTACTCTTTCCAAAAAGCACGTTTCCTAAGCCTGCCGTTACGTTGTTGATCCTGAGGAACACTATACAATAACCACCAAAGAAACAACGAAAACTCTTAAACGATGCAAACGGAGCTGTGATATATGTATGTATGTACGCCGGCCGCAGTCAGATATTTGTACCCCAAGAAATAAAAAAATTTGTTTACAGTCTGATCTGCTCATCGAAAGCAAATGACAAGTTAAACCATCTGAGATTGAGGGCACATGAGTTTTGCTCACCTGCAGCCTTTTTTCGATGTCTTTTAGTCATTGTCGAGCGAAATATTCACCCCGTTACCGACAGTGGCTTCGATGACCGAAGGTTTGAGTGTTTTAACGGCTTGTGACCAGGAAATACATGGTCGAAGCCAATGCTAGCCAAATTGCCAGGTATTTCCATATCACTGGGCACGCATAATAAAAGGAGTTCGTTATGCTTACCAAGATATGTTAGTAGTTTAGCCGACTCATGTGTTGCCCAACTACTTTGGACTGGCCAATGCCTTAAGTGCAGCTTTATTGTCAATACAAATACAAATTATTACCTCTCCGTCTATTTTGCATCAAGTAGTTCGTGGTTCTGACTAACAGCGCTGTGCCTATGCCAGTGACAAAACTCACTGCATGACTATTGTCTTAACCACTGCTTTTTCATAAGATTTGTGGGTCATCAAAATAATAATGGCAGTTGCAATCATTCTGCGGCCTAGTTTTTGGCGCATTAGTTAATACAAGAGGCATGCGATGCGCTTTACCATTGGCGTGGCAATAGCGCTCTTAATATTAGAGCAGGGAACGCAAAATTGTATATAGTATCTCTTTGGCAAAGGCATACCTACATATCCTGTGGCATTAAAAATATACTAAGGCTTGGATCTACAAATGGGTTTGGAGTTGGTGGGGATAGATTTTGGCGCCTTCTGGCATCTGAGGTTGCATAAATGTTTACTATCTGGGATTATACTCAAATATTTTACTTCTAAAGAAATCTGAATAGAGCATTTTTAAGGGTAAGGAGACAAGGCGTTCAAACCTTCTCTATCTAGGAAAGTCTAGTGAAGAGTAAAACACTAGATTCAGTACGGTTAGCCGGCAGTGATTTGGCTTCACTTGGCATATCAAATCGGCATCAGTTGACACAGAAGAGAAACGACTGCCGTGCGTTATTGAACTCGGCAAACATTTCTTAGGCAACCGCCTAATCAAGAAGAACAAGACTGGCGTTTTTGAACTCCATTTTCTTCTTTCATTCTCACAGTCACATTCGTTGCGTCCTTATCAACTTCGAAATTAATCATACGCCCTGTACTCCGCATGCTAATTTTGTTTCCAAATGCTACATGCGACTTACTTAAGTAAAAGAGTGCCACTTCAATTCAATAAAATATGTAGTGGCAAAATAATTAAATTTTGACTTTGGTTTATTTAATTGCTTTGCAGAGGAATAAAGACAATCGGTTATTGTCCTTCGCTAAATTTCCAACAGCATAGTTATGTATCTGTCTGCCTGCACGTGTTAACAATTAGTTCAACATCAATTAGCTTCTTCTACTTTTTCAGACGCGTACACATTTCGGAGGCCACATTGAAGTGCCTCAACGAGGCCTACGAAGTGGAGCCCGGCAACGGTGGTAGTCGTGACAATCACTTGAAAATGCTGAACATCAAAACGTATCTGATAAAACGCACTGAGCCATTAAGGTGAGTGATTAAGAGAAATGGTGAAATAAAATAAATATGCAAATAAATTATTGAAGTGCCACAAAAGAAGAAGAGCGCTGAGCTGCACTGAGAGCTAAATACATTTCAATTTAAATTTAAACAAATTTTTTATTCACTCACCATTGTGTAACAAAAAAAATATTTATGCTTTTGTATTTGTAACATTTTGTTTCTTCTACTTATTTGCGCTCGCTTGTGCGCTTTTCAGACCGAAACGTCGCTTTGGCACGCGCAGCAGTCAACATTTGGCCAACACCATTTCAAGTGCGACAGCCGCGGGCGGCAGCGATGCCAGCACCCCAACTGCCGTCACAACACCCGCCAGCATCGCTTCCAAATCCATATCCACCACAACTGGTGTGGAAGCGCAACAGCAACAGCCACAGCCACAACCACATTTGCCCCCCAATCCTCTACCGTCGCTCGCTGCGCTACAAAAGAAAAATATTTCGGTAAACTCATTGCCAAATGTAATGGAGGGTGTTGCGTTGGGTAATGGTGGACGTGCAGGTGATGCCGTCAATGGGCCTAGCAGCATCGCAGGTGGCGGTAGTGATGGCGCTGGTGGCATTGGAGCTGGTGATACAACTGGCTTGTCGACTGTTTCATCGCCTACAACGCTGACTGCGCCTACAGTGGTCGATCAACAGCCGCCGCTAAAATTGAACGGCACTGCAGCGAGTGCACAGAACCTGACGAGCACAATTGACCCGAAAGCATTGATTATTGAGGATGAACCGACCACTGAATGGACGCCGGAAATTCCATTTAAAAATGTACGTACGAATTTCAATTCAAATGAATTCATTTATGTATGTATTTGTTGAAGTGTATGTGTATGCCCAGCCAGCAGAGAAACGTAAATTTTGCCGAGACAGTGCAGTCTAGTGCCATAGTGAAGGTGCCGTGTTCGAATCCCGTCAGGCGCTTCCTTAATTTATTTTTTTTTTCTTTTTGAACCATGAAAAAGTATCTGTGAAGTGCAGAAGGAAAGCGTATTGAACGGAAAATTCAATCCGAAAAATTTCAGAAAAACGCCCAAAAAAAGTATCCGTTTCACCAACAATTTTCGGTACTTGTCTGTACGTACGTTTCTGCCGCACACTTTGGTGGGAAAATGGGTCGTCAAAGTATCCGATAATGGAATCGGTGAACGGACAAAAATCCGCACTTCATCCACATTTTTTTTCCTTTTTCGGATCATTTTTCGGATCGTTTTTCGGATTTTTATTTCTGGCTGGGTGGGCACGTGCAAGTGCGATATTTGATCTTTTTTGAGTGTGTGTGTGTGTGTGTGTGTATGTAAATTTTGGCTGGCTGCAATGGACTTGTTTGCCTCTACCAAAAATTGCATAGGAATTCCTACATTAATGTACTTTTATTTCGCGTATGCATGTATTAGTGCGAATCTCAGGATAACAAGGCTCTTTTGCGGTGGACATTGCGAACTAGTATGACTGATTATTAGGCTCTTTGAATTCATGTTGATGAATTAGCACGAAGCGTGTGAAAGCTAAGCATTTTCGAGCAATTGGAAACCTTTGAGAGCTGGCATTGCTGTAAAAAGGATGTACTGAAATCAACATGTGCAAAAATTTAGGAATTTTTGTAAAGCGAAAAACTTGTTCTAGCATGATGGGCTGCCCACCTTTTCAGTTTGGCTTTAATAGAGTGAAATATTTGCGACTGTACGACTGAGCCCAAAAGTGTCAGGAGAATTTGATTTTACATATGTTGAGAAAATGTGTTCGTTCGCAATATATTTTTATTTTAATCACTGGAAAGCCATATGTATTTTCATTTATGTAATTATTTTTTTTTTGATTTCCTTCCCACAATTCAGCTTAACTCGCCGCAGGACGGCCTCAATCGCAGCGATTCGGTTTTATGTGATACCAAACAGGAACATGGCCTTTCAATGACGGCGTTGGATGAAGAGGTAGGTAAAATACATGCATACATACATATGTATGTGTGTATATATTCACATATATTAGGTGGCATCACTCTCCATGCAAAAAAAAACGGTACAGTTTTTCCATTGGAATTATAAAGTCTGTTATAATTTGAAACTTCCGCAAAAATATTTAAGAAAAAAATATTAAGATTTAAGTGAGCTGGTCCAATTTGAAAATACCACAAAAAGGTTTTTATAAATTAAATTGTCAGTTTTTATAGGAATCTAAATTTAAAAGGTCCGCATCAAACTCTTTGAAAACTACTCAAAGGAATCAAAATAATTAGATTTTTCGAGGTATTTTCATATTGGTCAACCTAACATATATCTTGATATTTTTCCGAAAGTCTTAAAATATCATTACTTTTGTAATTCCGACGGAAAAACAGCGCCGATTTATTTTTTTTATTTTTTTTTTTTTTTTTGATGAAAAGTGTTTCACCTTAATCTATACATAAATATTCGATACTCTTTGCAGATTTATAAAAAAAAAACTTTTTATTCTCGGGCCGGCTGTTTTTTACATTTATTTTAAAATAACTCTTATATTCTTATGGCCTTATTCATAAAAAATAAAATAGATTTAAAGAGCTATATGTATAAAGTGATATTTTCATACAAATTTTCGACGTATAAAGCAGTTTAAGTCTTCTTTATTTTTTATGAATATGGGTGTTAAATTATATTTTTCGACCATAAACCTTATCTTTTCGATTTTTTTTCATATCTATCCCTTAGATTGATGATTTCATAGAACAAAATATACAAATTAACTCTAATAAGGAGATACGACGGGAGTACCTGAACACATGGACTTTGAAGTTTAAAGATCGCGGTCAAGAACAAAAGTTTTGTCAATTACGCGAAGATATGTTTAGGTAAGTAAAATTTTAGCTTAAAGCAGTAATAGCTAATAAACCAATTGCGAGTAGTATGTATTATATATATACACACTCTGCGATCGTAAAATATTGGACAGTCGAAAAAGCTTTCGCACAGAGAATAAACTATTTAATTATATATTAAAATAATATAAAATTAATATCTCAATGGCTTAATCTAAATCTTAAAAATATATTCATGAAAGAAATACTTTGCATTTTATTATGATATCTAATTAAAAAATACAAAATAAAAAACTCTGCTTGAGTTTTATAAACAAAAAATTTAGTAAAGTGATATACACATGCCTCTTTTGAAATGAATTCAGCATTATTAAAGGAGTTCTGCTATATGGTAGAGGCATCACAACTTTCCAATGCAGCTCTCTACATTTTTGGGGAATCATCAAGCTTGTGCATCTTTTATAAAGCATCTTGTTGTATGTGATCCATTTTTCATCATAAGTAATCATTCCCTTTACAGCCGCAATGACTATGACTGCTTGGAATCGCCCATTTTTGATTTTTATCAAATAACGATGTTCCGCCATAATTAAAAAAAAAAAAACTAAAAAAATATTTCGAAAGCTAAAAAAATCCTAGTTTCTCAATTTCTGGGATTTTGCTAGTTAATGTTTTGATTATTTGAACTGTTTTTGTTCAGTACCTACTCTATATATTTAAAAAATAAAAATATATATTTACAAAACTCTAAAATGAAGAAATTTACAGAATTTTAAAATTGATAAGAAAGAAAAAACAAAAACTTATAAAAAGTGTTAGCTAAACAACTGATCTTAAAAGATTCCCAAAATTTTAAAAAATTTGTTTTTTAAATTCAACAATTTTATTGAGATTAAAGATATTAATTTTTGAGCTTTGAAAAAAAAAACTTAAACTCTTAATAAAGTTATACTAAAAAAAAATTATTTAACTTGAGTTTATTTTAATTTAAAGCTAAAGAAAATTTAAAAATTTAAAAGTTCATGCCTTTAAAAAGAACACCTCCTTTAAAATCTTAGGATATTTTAAGATCAGTTGAAGGTATTATATAAAAAAAATTAGCCAAAAATTAATATAAGTTTTTGCTTTTACGATTTTTTAAACTTCATAAAAATAGCGCCAAATATTTAGGTACCTTTCAAAAAAGGCGAGAACCATTTTTGTACAATTTGAGATTTTCAAAAAATAAACTTAGAAGGAAATTTTGAAATTTTCTTTCAAAAAAAAAAATTGTTTTTCCTTTGTCAGAACTTTGTTATATGATAAAAGAAAAGTTGTCATCAAAGTCATCCAAATAAAAAATGGTCGATTTTAGCAATAAGTAATATTCTAAATAAAATTATAGTTTAAAAAACTAAAACCTCGCTATTATAATTTCCATTCTTACTGTCATCCAGTATGTAACTTGAGAATAGAAATCGCTGCATCTTTTAGGCGCATCAATATTACATAGCATGCATACCAATGAAATAAAAGGGAGGTAAAAATAATCTGAATGTAGACATTCATTGTAGGCATTAGCCGACTTTCTTAGGCTTACTAAGTAAGAGATAAACTTGAAAAATGAAATCTTTTGGTCTTCAAATTGGCCTTTTTTGGATTTCTTTTCCCTTCTTTTAGATCAATAAATTAAATTAGGCTACATATCTTTTTCTTCTGAATTGCCTTTCAATATTTTTGTTTACATTTTGTTTTTTTTTCAGATCGAATATGCTGTGCATTTTTATCATCTGGCTGTTTATTGTGATGTGCCAAGTAATTATTATACCACGTTGTACCAAATTAATTATTTGCCTAGTGGTGGGCACAATTTTCCTAACATTTGCTTGCGTGCTAGTCATGGCAGAAGAGTTCTCAAGTAAGTCAAAGCAAATCTGTTAAGTAACGCACTGTTACAAATAAATACCAAATTATAATAATATTTTTTTACATTCGTTTAATCGCACACACCCCACCCACAGATCTCCCACTCTACCTGAAACAAAATTCTGCCAAACTTGTTCATCAACGGCGGCGGCGTACATTCTTCATTTGCATTGTCATCGTAATGATGTCGGTGTTGAGTGCAATTGGCTTGGTACTCTGTCCGGATGCAACATTCGCCTTTGACAGCACCGGCGACAATAAAACCTCAACATCCACTACACAGTTAACTAGTAACAACAACTCGGTTAGTGCTCTGTTGGCAAGCGGCAGTGAAAAGGAAATCAAATTAAATGTTTACCTATCGGCGACAATACATCACAACATCACCATCAATGCTGCTAATGGCACAATTGTCGATGCATTCATCACCGACAATCTAACAGCAGCAGCACCAGCTGGCGATCTTGTACGCCAAAGCATTGTTAATGCGCTCAATTTAACACAAACACCTATAAATTTGCTGAATGCATCAGCCAACACACTCGAGTCCTTCGAACAATCGCCACGCGGCATTTTAATGGCAACCGCCGCCGCCGCCGCCGCTGCTGCTACTGCTGCTGCTGCACCGCTAGTCAACGACACCGACACCGACACCGACACTGAATCGGAATCGGAATCGGAACTGACTGATGCAGCTCACTTGGAGCTCTACAACAGCATCAACACTTTTAATAGCACGGATGATACGGCGGTGCATCGAAATGTTTGTGCGCATCCCGAGTATATAATTTTCACCTGGGTGCTGTGTCTCGTTTCGCTGGCGACAGCGCTAAAGCTCTACTATCTCATTAAAACTTTACTCGCTATGGCTATGGTCGGCTGCTATATGATCTTAATATTGACACTGTTCCAAGCGCTCTACTCGTCATCAGCTGCGAGTTTCGATTATCTACGCATGGCCATGCCACTGGATGTGCAGATGCTTATACTGCTGTGCTCGTTCTTGATTATGGTCGGCTATCATGCGCGTCTGGTAGAGGTGAGTATTAAGGTGAAGGCGAGACTCTTATCTTTTTTATGTTGTAGGTAATTTTTAGTTAAAATGCTGTCATCCTTCAAACTCAATAAGCGCGTTTACGCTTGAGTTGAGAGTGTCAACTTCACATTTTATTGATTATTTCACGTGGGTACTTACAAATTTAGAAAGCACGCTAAAACTAAAAAAAAAATATATTCTTAGTGAAGACCTACCCAATAAACCACAAAAAAAATGTCAGCACTCAACCTATTTAGTTGCGCTTCCTTTCCAGTTAGCAGTTCTACAATGGAATTCTGACATTCGCTGCGCTAAATTTTCGTCGCAAAAATTCTCCAAATGAAAAGAAGTGAGGCCAACAAAATAAAACAGTAACAATAGCTCTGATCCAGTACTCCATGTACTTACAGATTTTTAGGAAGTTGCAGGAAAAATGTTCCCGTATTCCAAAATCATTTAAATGAGAGCATTTTTTTTTAGAGTTGTGTAGAAATTAAGTTGCAAGGTTTTACCCGAACTTTATCTTCTGCTAAAATCATGAAAAGTGTCAAGCGATAAGCTGTTTGACGTTTTTACAGGAAAAATGTTTTTTTTTTTTTTTCCCCCGAACTTTTTGGTTGTTACTCACTTTTTACTCTCACTTTAGAGAGTAATTTTGCTGTTTGACGTTTTTACAGGATTTTACACGAAAAGTATTGGATCAGAGCTAATGTGTATTCAGCCAAATTTAGCAGTGAAGGGCTTGTGGCTAGATGTTGCGCGCCTGCTATTTCTTTTTTTTTTTTTTGAAGATTTATGGCGATCAAAATTAGCAATATCGTATATTGGAATTCGGCTGCTGGTTAGCATAATCTTATTAGCAAACAGTGATGAGAAGTATGCAATATTAGATACATACATACATACATATTTACTTGAATTGCTTTGCCTGTTTTTGTTTCTTCATGTGGCAAGACTCCCTCCTGATTTAAAGGGCGTTTAAATGCCTTATAAATGAGAGAAAATTACAGAATTTCTCTTTTGGTAAACTCGCTTTCTTTTTCGTGTATCAGCCAATGTGTCTAAGAATCTCCAGGTTTTCTAAAATATTTTGTACAGAAGGCAGTGTTACTGGATGCTACTGGACATAACCGTTTTAAAAGAAATGAGAAATAACTTTGCAAACTCATCTATTGGCTGACCCATAAAACGAGCTATTTCAACGTCATGATATAGTTAGCATCGTGCGTGTCATCTTCAGACAAACCTATTTCAATCTTAGTCAATCGGAAAGAAAGGCGTTGCTTTTATAAGAACCTGATACATTTGACATTGTCCTTAGATAACGTCTCAGCTCCAACTTATAACATATTTCAAGGTCCTCTACAAGACACAAATCTAGCTCAACATTAAAGGATAAATTCAGAGGGCAATTGGTCAAAACGTTCATTTCAGATATATCAAATAAAACAGCCAATACGCAGGCAAAGGACTCTCCAAACCTCTCAAAGGTCGACTAACTTGGCTCCGTTTGAAATTATCCATATAAGATTCATCCTGACTACATGAGTCCAACAAAAGTCCTAAGAGTAGATGAGTAGATGTAAACACGAATTAAGGGTTACGTTTGGGAAAGCATTCCTTAGTTGATATTTTCATTTAGAAGTGAATAAACAACGGTACAGACAGATCAGTCTGACTTACTGTGTCAAATTTAAAAATAACATCAGTGAGGCCAAAAAATGTGTTGTAATTGAGGGCGTACATAGATTTTCGGACAATGTCTGCTCTGAAGCGAATAATCAAGTTCTCTTCAATTCAATTTTTTGGTTCGTTGGGTATGTGTAGTAAACTCGTGGCATTCACAGTCAGCGCCCACAAGGAGTCAGTCAGCAAACAATTAAAATATGTACCATCTATGTTTTTGCACGTAATTAATGACGTTTTTTCTATTTTCTCATTCTTTTCTCATTTTTCCATTTATTTTTATTTCTTCTTATTTTTTCTTGTGTTCGAAATACTTGGCTGCGCAATGAAACGCCAGGTCACTTCGCGTTTGGATTTCATTTGGAAGGAGCAAGCTGAGCGTGAATTAATGAATATGAAATCGAATCGTGCACTTAACGACACATTAATTAAGGTAAAATAAATGTTTGCGCATTTTGCTTTCTTTTAAGTTTGCTCAAGTATTTTTCACTATTTAGTGGTGCTTGGCACAAAAAATTAAAGAAACTATTTTGTTGCACTGATTTGTTTTAAAAAATTTAATTATATTAAATACGTACGTTTGATTGCTTACATACTTCCATTATTTGTTTTTAGAATATTTTGCCAGATCATGTTGCCGCCTATTATCTCTCCGATGAACACACTGACGAATTGTATTCGAAAAACCATGCACTTTGTGGTGTTATGTTTGCTTCTATACCCAATTTTCAGGATTTCTATTCGGAGGACATCGACAATGGCAAGGCATGCATACGGATATTGAATGAGATTATATGTAAGTGATATTGGTAGAACTAATAGCTATTAATTTGGTTTTTCGATTTTGTTATCGATATTATTATCGATTTTGTTATCGATATATTTATCGATTTTGTTGTCGATGTTTTTATCGATTTAGTCATCGATATTTTTATCGGTTTTGTTACCGATATTTTTATCGATTTTGCTATCGATATTGTCATCGCTTTTGTTATCGATATTTTTCAGGGACGTAAACCGGTTTTGAACCGAACCGATTTTGAACCGGAAAACCGCTCTTTTCCACAAATGTTTGATCCGAACCGAAAACCGAACCACTTTCTATAAAGATTGAAAGGTTCGTTTCAACCAATTTTCAATAGATAAATGTAGCCACTTTTTTTGTTTTTGGTACCCACCATGTTTATTTACCATGTGACAATATCAGATGTAAAGGCAACCCATCTCATTTGACAGACACTTGACCCTTAACCTTGCGCGTTGTTGCACTTGACACATGACACTTAAACTTGCGCGTAATTTTTTTTTTTTTTTGAACCGTTGAATCGAACCGAAACCCCGGTTCAAAAGCCAAAAAACCACTTTGACGAACCAATCCAAAAGTGCAAAAACGGTACGAACCGACCAAATTTTTCATCCGGTTCACGTCCCTAATATTTTTATCGGTTTTATTATCGATATTTTTATTAATTTTGCTATGGATATTGTTATCGTTTTTGTTATTGATATTTTGTAATAGATTTTTTGATAGATTTTGTAATCGATTTAGCTATCGATTTTGTTCTTGATTTTGTTGTCGATATTTCTATCGATGTTTTTATCGATTTTTCTATCGATTTTCCTGTCGATATTTTCATCGATTTTGTTATCGATATTTTTTTCTTAGTGTGTGCTTTCGTTTTTGACTTGGATATGCTCTTAACCATACCACATAGCCTGCAGACCAAGACGAAGGCGTTGGACTGTTCCTTTTTTTCTAATAATCTTAAGTCTATAAGTATTATAAAAATATAGTACACGTAGGTGTTCATTAATTGAAAAAAAATTATAAAGTAGTGGTTTTGAATTATTAAAATTTATTTAAGTTTTCCTGTTTCATTACATTTAGCTTGTCAGGGCCCATCCCGTTTGGACTGAACTTAAAACGGTGCTCGACGTCACTGCTAATAGTCGTATAAGTTTTACAAGCATCTGAAATTTACACATGGCGTTGTGGAGGCAGCATCTATCCATTTATTCCTATCAAAAGCAGCCTTTAAACGACACAGCGGTTGGTTGTCGATTTGCTTGCAGAGGTTATTTTCTAAGCTTTGATGGCTCAATGATGGATTTGTCAAATCCGACACCACAAGACCTTATAAGCAATACTAAGAAGCCTTCTTCTGCGATAATCAAACACTGAATTTTCAATATTCGGGCATTTTTTCATCAGATGAGATTTTCATTTGTCGACTTTGAACAAATCAGTTAGGATTCCTTCAGCTCTGGGAGCTTTGTTGCACTTAAGCCTCGTTATTGCCTTTTTGACCACGTCTAGGTCAAGTAGACCTTAGCGTTAAAGTTGTCAATCGCCCTTTAATCTCATCGTCTTTCTCCTCCGTAGGCTCGTGGGCTGAAATTTAGCTGTTAAACATATTTTGTTGAACCTATTTTTGATGCGAATAGATGCAATTCATTCCTGAGGAGGGTGAAACTGTATACGAGTTTTCGGATTCGCACACCGGACAACTAAAAATCTGGCTTGGAATTTTTTTCGTCGCCTCCTCGCATTCTACAGTGTCATGATACCTCCCTTATCCGCTTTGCGACAGAGGCACCTTTCCAAGACGCTCCATAAGCATATCCGTAAATAGCACTCCTGGTTCGTGTGCCTAGGCCCGCAGCTTAGCCAACCACACCAGTATTACATTTTCGTATTTTTAGTTTATATAAAAACGCACTGTTAATTGACAATTACAAGTTAATTAAACTATTGTCCTCTTTTCCAATCCCCAGGCGATTTCGACGAACTCCTGGAGGAACCCCGCTTTGCGTCCATAGAGAAAATCAAGACTGTTGGCGCCACCTATATGGCCGCTTCCGGTCTAAATTCAGCACATTTGAATGCACGCGGGGAGACAGCGGAAGACAGCGTTTGTGATTTGGTTGAGTTTGCCTTTGCCATGAAACAAAAATTGGAGGAAATCAACAAGGAAGCATTCAACAACTTTCAGTTGCGCGTGGGCATCTGTAGCGGTCCCTTGGTGAGCGGTGTGATTGGCGCGCGCAAGCCCGTCTATGACATCTGGGGCAATACGGTGAACGTGGCCTCACGTATGGACTCCACCGGCGAGAATTGGCGCATACAAGTGCCTACCAAAACTTCAGAGCTGCTAAAAGGCAAGGGGTACACGTGTGTGGTTAGTAATAAAAATTTACATACAAACATATTTAGTTGAGGACAATTATTTTGTTTTCTTTTTTGGGGGTCTCACATTCACATTTTTTTTTTTAACCTAGAAACGCGGCGAGATAAATGTAAAGGGCAAAGGCCTAATGGTCACGTACTTTGTGCATCCTAGAGGCGCCAATGAAAGTCAATTATCGTCACCGGTGCGACTGCCGGCGGGTGTGCCATTATCGCAGACGCCCAACTTACAACGCCAGACATCGCATCATGGCTCCTTCAGCGCTGTGGTGTTCGGCATGTTGCAGGCATCGAAACGTAGCACAACCATAGCAGGCACACGTAAGAGTCATCAATATATAATTTGGCAGTTGTTTGTTTGTATGTACATATGTATGTACATATATACGCTGCTTGCATGCATGTGTATATAGATATTTACAAAAAATACAAACATACATGTAGTACATATGTAAAGTTATTTACATACATACAATTGGTTCTATTTTTTTATCGCTTTCAATGGATTTGCAGCGACTGGCACTCCCTCACCGCAAATAAGACGTGGTCGTCGTGGTAGTACCTTCAGTTCAGTGCGTCTATCGCAAAAGTCTACCACCACCAACAATCCGGTGAGGCGGAATACAACACGAGTGCGTGGTCGCTCATATCGACAGAAGAAGGTGGCACATTTTGAACGTCCATCGAAGAGAATTGGCTAAGTGGTAATTAATTTTCGTTCTTTTTCTCTTTTTTTTTTTTGCTACTTTGTTGCAGAGCTCGTCCAACAACTCGATAGTAACACAGACCAGTAATTCGTACATCTCGTCATTTCGACGCATCGATCAGATTGAGACGACGCTGTCCAAAAGTCACAATGATGCTTTATAGCCAATGCGCAATTGGGTGTAAGTCGACGCACCAGCGCAAGGCGACCAATTTTAATTTACTACTAAATACAACTATGTGACACTTATTTATTATACGAGTATATTAGCTATATTTATATACATATATAAAAAAATTAGTTTAGTAAAGATATTTACGTACAAAGAATATCACTTTTTCGAAAGTTAAAAAAAGTTTGACAAGCACTTCCCAGTGATCCCTTTGGTGTAAACTGATTTCAATTAAGCAAAAAGTGCATTTATTTTTGGAGCATTTTTTAATAAGTTAGTAACTTAGATTCAGATACATACGTACTAAATATACTATATGTATGTATGTAGATAAAATGTATAAATTACTGTATGTATGTACTTAAGTGTCTACGATGCAATTGCTGTTGGCAAATGTGAATGTGAACAGATTTATCTAGCTTTATTTTATGTAATTGTATGAAAACTTAAACAAATGTCAAGGCGATTTTAAAATTTTCTTAAAAGCTAAGTAATCAAAGGAAGGAAATTTGTATGTATGTATGCACTTATTGGTACATACCCAGCAAACATTTGGAGTCATAAATGAGTCTTTAAGAAATCCCATTTCGGAGCCTTTGTGTTCATTATGAGCTCATTTAAGAGTCCGAAATGAGGGTGTTTCCCTTCCTGCGTAGGTCGACCTATATGAGCTTAAATTCATACATCAAATGAGCCTCAATATGAGTCATATTGGACTCTTATTGGCCTCATATACGGCTCATTTTGGACTCTTTTTGAAGCTCTTAAATGACTCTTATTGGACTCATAAATGACTACTTTCGGAGTCTCATTGTATGCTGTTCTGTGACTCTTATTGGCTTTATTCTTCAACTCTCTTAATGAACTTACTTTAGAGCCATGTTAGCAAGGAATTCATTTCAAATACTGTTGCATATTTATATACAAACCTCTGCGCATACATATATACATATGTTCATATATTGCAGCATTCATGTAATAGCAGTTGCTGCAGCTAAATTTTGTTTATTTTTCCTTCCTAATTATTTTTCATATCTGTATAAACAAGTTTAGATATAAATTTCTAGTCGTTATTGTTTTTATACTGGCACAAAGTGCTGGCTCATAACTTGGATCATATATGACTCCTAAAAGATTCATATAAGAGTAAAAAAATGTTTGTTTTTGAAACTCATATTTCTTACTTACCTAGGACTCTTTTCCGACTCATATATTCTGAGCGCTCAGAATATGTTTGCGGGGTAAGTACACTTTTTTTACAAATTTTTTTTATCTGTAAACATCTTAGCGCTCGGTATGGGTAAAATATGCGTTAATCCAGCAGAAAATTTGTAGCTGCTTCTTGTGTGTACAAATAAACATTTCTGGACTAGTGCAGGGCTATTACAGCCCATTTTGGGGCCTGTTCAAGGTAATTTAGGGTTAGCTCACGACTATTTGAGGGCCATTTTTGGACTAGTTCTGGATCATTTCGACACTAGTTTTTAGTTATTTTTAGTTATTTTAGGAACACTTCAAAACTGTTTCGTCCATTTTGTGGCTTGTTTAGAACTATTTCAAGACCATTAGGGAAGAGTTCGGGATCACTTCGAAACCCTTTCGGGACCTATTCAGGACCATTTCGGGTTTGGTTCTGGATCTTTTGATCATTTTTAATTCGGGTCTATTTCGAGACTAGTTTCGGTTAATTATGGGGGCAATTTTGGAACTAGTTCAGGATTTCAGGGACTGGTTCTATATCATTTCGAGACAAGTAAGATGTTTACACATCAAATTTCATGAGTATCTGGTACTCACGCCTTTTTTTTAATTGTAATGCAATGGCTGTATGTGGTCTGGAGGTACTTTGTCCCAGTGGCGGAGAAAAGTAATCTACAAGGCGTTGACTGTCTCTTCACAAGGAAGATCAGTGTGAAGTTGAGTGGCACGACAGAGTCGATTACAGCCACAATACACATTTGTATGCAGCCGTCAACAAGGAGTTGATAGTTTACCTTGCTTGCACGCCACTTTTTTTAGAAAAAAACTAGGGACTCTCTCCCAAATTGACCTTGTGATCATTTAACATAGTTGTGAAGTCGGCGCGTGCAAAGGTCTTCATTGAAATCAGGGGAGCGATCCGGACCACTCCTAGCCCTAAATGCTATGCTCGGGATCGTACCTGGTTATATTGCGCACAAAGCAGCGGCAGTTCACACAGCCATTAGGCTCAAAAGCTGTGGATTCTCTTTTAACCCAGCATATTGGCACTCGACAATTCTGAAAAGCTTCGGCCTCCTACCGGCAGAAATAGATAGGAATGCTCCGAGGCTGGCTTCAAACAGCTTCTTCTCCACGTGCATCCCCCCAAGGGGTAAATGAGAGAATGGCAGTATCTGAAGCAGAGGTCCAATAAACATCTTCACGGATGGATTAAATCTGGACAGCAGAGTTGGAGGAAGTGCCTACTGTCAGGAACTTTCAATAGATCTTATGTTCAGACTGCCGGATCTCTGCAGCGCCTTTCAGGCAGAGTTGGCCGCTATAAAAGAGACAGCCGATTGGCTATGCGCCAATGTTTTGCTGACTAGGAGGGTAAATATCTACTCTGATAGCCAAGCGGCAATCAGGGCGCTGGAATAGCTGATGGTACGTTCGAAACTTGTTGGGGAATGCCTGACCTCTCTCTCAACTGCCACGGAATACTTCCAAATCAAGCTGATATCACGTGAAATTGCAGGGCTAATGAATTGGCTAGGCAGTGCACCCCCCACGCCATAACCTCGGACAAGGAGGGCATAGGAGTTCCGTTGGCAACCGGCGGCCTGATTCTGGACCGATGGGCTCATAGTCGACTCAGCGAACGCTCTGGGCAAAAAAGCCCGTAATGCAAGGTTGCAAGGTCTTTATGACCGCATATTGACCACGGGCGGTGAAGGGAGCTTCTGTTGCTGACTAAGCGCCAGCTCTCGATTCTGACAGGTTTACTTACCGGACATTGTCCCTTAGGAGCCCACGCGGCGCGAGTTAATATCGTCACGGATCCTTAATGCCGCGGTCCATGACTTTATAAATGAGAACACAAAGCGCATACGTATTTATCTTTTTTTTCAAAACTCAGTGGTGCATACATTCATACAAATACAAGTTATATGCTTGATTCTGTCAACATAGTTAAATACTAACATATATATATAGTTAAATACAAATGAATCTAACATAATATAATATTGATTTATATGCGTAACAACTTTATTTTACCAATTTTTAACTACTATTGTTCGTCTAGTCGTTAGCTTTAAATAAAAATTAAATAAATAGAAATTGTCTGGTTTTATTTTGAAAATTGTTTTTTTTTTTTTTTTTGTTTTTTACATAGATAAAAAGTTATCTATAGAGACAGTGTCCTAAGTGAAAAGTGTACGCCTTGCATTAAATAAATTTTATAGAACATTTGTCAATATGCTCTAAATAACGCGCTCGGCACGCAAAGGCAAACCTCCACCGCGCAAAAAGGAACACGCCGCAGTCGATGCAATACCGCTTAAATAACTGAAATACGGCATCCAAGAGCTGATTGCTCGCATATTTCAGCTGCTAAGCGCATTTTGATGTGATCAATGCATGCTCGAAGATAACGAGTCTTACTGGCCAATCCACAAGAATATAGTGCCTGCTATTTGCGTCAATTACTGTGTGTTAAGCCTTCCCATCATTTCATATAAGGTCCTATTGGCTATACTGTATGAAAGGCTAAAGTTCCTCATGTACAAATTTATTAAGTGGCTTCAGATCAGTCCCAGATTGAAATGTTTCACTGGTAATATGCATGTGCATACTTTTTTTCTCTTTAGAAAGCAAAAGCAAGCATTTGCGAAAGTAAATAAACTAATAAAAAGTTACCGAAATAATAACTAATATGGCAATATGTTTTTTTAAGGAAATTTTTTTTAGTGAAAAAAAATATTTTTTTTTTTGGTAAAATAATTGTTTTAATTTAATTTGAGTTGTAATATGTATTTATTTTTTAAAGGAAATGATTTTTGGGAAAACATTTTGGGATTTTTTAGGGAAAAATAATTATTTAGGAAAAAGGTAAATTTGTTTTGAGAAAAAATAATAATTTAAATTTTACTTGGATTTATTGTGTATTTACATAATATAAATTTTTTAGTTTTTTTTTTTAGGTTTTAAGCATCTGAGAAAATAAATAAAATTAGAAAATTGTACGTATATTTTAGAAAAAAAGTATGTTTTTACGAAAATAATTACTAAAAAGTTTTTTTTAGGGAATGTGCATATATTTTCTTGGGAAATAAATATTTTCTTCGGTAAAAAAATAATTTTAATTTAATTTGAATTATAATATGTATGTATTTGTGTTTGAGAGGAAATGATGTAAAAAAATTGTTTATTCGTAAAAAAATACTTTTTGAGCACAAAAACCATTTTTTACGAAAATTAAATAAACTTAGCAAAATTTGCAAGAAATTATTTCTGGGGAACATTTTTTTTTGTAGAAAAAATTATTAAATTGCATCATTTTTGTCTTCAGATTTTTATACAACTTAAAAAAAAAATTTTTTACTCAAATATGTAGGACTAAAAAGATTTTCTTTTAACAATATGAACGACAACATTTTATTAGCATAGCATTTTCTTTTTATATCACAATTTAAAACTTTTTTTTAAATAGTACCTTACTGAGTGGGCTAATCAATATAACCGTAGTGAAGTAATGGTTTTTGGCATTTTCAATTCATTAAATTTCTTCGCTCATACATATTTACGCGCCAAATTTGTCATTATCCAGTTTTTTACTTGACAGCAATCAGTAACAGCACTTCCACAGAGCCCACATCTGTCATCAAACCTCGAACAGCGGGTCAAAGTCATTAGCTCATGAATGAAATCCCCCTGCAGTCAAGTCATTTGATCAAAGTGGCTTCACTACCTGCGCTGTTTGAGAATGCAATCACGAACAACAACATAAAGCCAGCAAATGGAAATGCACACATTCATACCTGTCTGCACTTACGCACTAAACAAACACATACATAAATTCATATATGTAGCTGTGCGTGCAGTTTTCTATCATTCCACCT